GTGCTCCCTGACTAGCTCCACTGTCAGGAGCTGCAGTATGCATGCACCATGTTCTCCTGAGTCCTTCAAAGACTTCTTGGTCTGTGTCTTTTTGGCCTCTCAAGACTTATTCCTTAGGCTTGAACCGTATGTTGTACTTAGTACCCGTGTCCTTCTGACTCTGCCCTGTATCACCCAGTTCAACCTTCTTGGCCCTCATCGCAACCTTCTCATAATACAAAGAATTTGAGGTCTCCAATATTGGGTAAGGTTAGCTTTTTTCTGAACTTAGGAAAAGCAGATTTCTGCTAATCAGTCTTGCAATAGTCTCTTTAAATACAAACCTCTCAAAATACTGAAAACTAAGCTGCTCCATTGTCTTGCGCAGACTGTCTCTCTCACTGGCATTTTAACTGTTAATGCTACTTGCAGGCACCAAACCAGTAACACACAATGGGTCAAAAACAGTTCTCACTGAAAGTACAGCCAAATTCAGATGAAATCAGTGGTGCAATGATAATTTGTTAAAAATGGGAGCAGTGTCTTGCTTGATGTTTTAAGGCATGTTTTGAGCTTTATGGTTGGGGATAGTTGATGGTTTATTTTGTCTATTTTTTTATGTATTTCTATGTGGAGAAAAGCTCAAGAGATTTTCACACAACCTTATTTGCCCTGTTTCAAAGTTCAAGTAGTGATAATTTTAATACCTGAAACAGTATCAGTATACAAGATATTAAATGCTATAATAGCTTACTTTGTTCTCTGCTGCAAAGCTGTCAGTGCTTTAGTGGGGGTTTTGTCTTGATTTTTTGACTCCATTGTGATCACTCCCTGAAATTTCAGAATAAGCTTGCAGTAATGGTTAATTCACTTACTTTCCTGCTCCCTAACAAAAATAAGTGTTAATCCTCCAGAAGCTTAGAGGAAATCTTAATATTTTTCAGTAATCTCTTTAGAAGACAAAGAATTACAAATGATATTTTAAACTCAGTAAGACTTCAGTGACAACTTCCAACAACAAAAAGAAGCAAGTTTCCTATTTATGTCTGTAATTGCGATTTATAATACACCAATTAAACGCAAGCAGATGAACGATGGTGTTTTCATGAGACATGTACAGCTCACTGCAGATGAGCTATGACTTGTTCATCTAAATATGTTTAAAATAAAATCCTAAGAAAAACTACTTTGCATTCACAGCGGCAGCATTTTTCCCCAGTGCGTCCTGGTTTGAGCATATACATCCCCTTGGCCGGGCGCAACTGGATCAGCGCACAGCAGGGAGAGCAGAGTGTCTGCGTGAAGACTGCTTCAGTGGGAAAGAGAGAACATAAAGAATATTCATAAAGAGCAAATTAACACGTCATATGAGGCCTTGATTAGGCTTGACAGCTTTCCTAAAGACTTTCTGCTGTTACTAGTGCTTAACATCAGCTGAGGATTTGTGAAAGAGCAACTACCCCCCACCTCCTAGAGCCTTTAAGTGATGGCGGTGGGTGAGACTCTATACACTGTGTTCTGCTGATCTTTTTCATTGCGGGTTGCATATCTATGATACACTGGTTTCTGCGAGATTAATTTTATCCCGAAACTTCACATTTACCAATGTTGTAGTAGAGGTACTGCCCATATTAATGATAGAATGTAATATAAAAAGCATGAGGCAGGTGGTCTGTACGTGGTTTTGTCATACTTCTGAGGATCATTCAAAGCCTCTGCCTTTGTCTTTTTTTCATCATGTATCTTCAGTGATGTCTTGACCAGCAGGCAAAGAAATATTGCAAGCATATGCTGGGTGCTTGTCTTCAGTCTGTGGCAATGAGAAAAAAAATTGTAGTGGATTAGCACTACTTTGGGATGCATTCCTTGTTACGTGGACAAAGTTGCAAAGCTCCTTTACTCTGAGAGACATTTCTTTTCCTGCATTTCTGTGGTGATTTTCAAATGACAGCCCTGTCTGGCCTTCATGCTTGCAAGGTGTTTGGGGCCAAGGTGAATTATTGTAGACTCTTTTTATAATGGGTAGAAGGAAACTGGTACTTGTAAAGGAATCGGAGAGGAGCGTGTCTCTCTCTTTGTGAGGTCCATATAAAGAATGTATGGCAACAACGGTCCTCAGCAAGTGCTTGAGGTTAACAACAGTGACTTGTGAATCCTATAAGGTAACGATGCTGGCAGAGTTTGCCTTCACTCAGCAAGTCACTGTATGGGAGGGAAGCAGAGAGTCACCATGAAGGCTCTATGGGCAGGGGAAGAATTGTATAACTCAATTTATTTTTTTGGTTTTTGCTTTCAACTTTCTTTCTTTAACACTTCCCCTCTCCACAAGTTTTAAGTTTCTGCACAAATAAAATTTAGTTTGGTTAAGTGTGGAAGCCCTTTAGTCTTTTGAGGGAGCTCATTAAGGAGAAAGCCAAACCACACCTCTGCCCCAAAGATGTGGCTCACTTTAGGGCCCTTTCATAGTCACATAAAGAAGTGTATGGTAGAGTGAGAGTTTAAGCTTTTGGAGTACTTGCAGCCTTGTACTCTGAACAGATTATTTTTTATTTAAACTTAAAAATAAACATAATGTAGATAGGGTAAACATAATATAGGGTCAGACACATCACTGAGCTCTGTGTCACCTGCGTGAACCTAGAGGTGATGAGTAGTAGTTTGCTCAAAGGTTAATGTGAATGTGGTTTGTTGGTACTCACTGGTAATGCCTTTATAAAATTAAACACTACTTCACAGCAAAAGCAAAATAATACAGCTTAATACATGAGCCTATCTTGCACCTCATCATTATTTTGGATCCAGTTCTAAAATCAACTTTCTTGTAACGTAATGGAGTTTATTTTTGCCTAGATATCGTACTCGTATACAGATTAGATTTTTTTATATATATTGACATTGCCAAAGGCAGTAGTTAGTGCAGTGAGGCTGAGATTTTTATCATTTGTATTAGTATAAAGATGTCAATGAATTGGACTGAAAATACTTATGTGTCAAGCACACTTTTTAGGTATAGTGTCATTTCTTGGATAATTGATAGTTGGAAATTTGGTAGAATCCCAAATGGGCAAACGCTTCATATGGAGTACAGTGAAGAACTGATCATTAAAAAGAGGGATTTCTTCACTGAACACGCAGAGTATACACAAGGTGCAATGATCTGGTAAGACAAAAATTTGTAGTTTTCAAGATGATCAATTTAGCTTTACTTCAATCATGATTATTTTAGTGTATCTGCTTTAGTTGAAGATTTTCTGCAGTCTTTATTCTTTTAAAGTTGGCAAGTGTTCCAAGTGGTGTTCTGGAGAAATGACATCTCTTAACTCGATATAAAATAAATACAATGATTGTGCCATTTCTGGGAGGCTAGTTAGAGATAAAGTAGGGTAATCTTGCTGAAATGTGAACTGAAATGTATTTGTATTTAATATGTATTTTATTTTTCTGGATAACTAGCTAAACCTTGGAAACCCTAATTCAAACTCAATCTGCAAAAAAACCAGAGTTCTGTGGGCTGAATCGGTCTCTGCTAGTTGGCATTGCGTTTGAGTATTAATGCTTAGGATTTTAGAACTACAAACAAACTGTTGAGCAGCAGTGTCCACTTAAAAAAGAGGCAGTGAGGAGCAGAGGCTAACTGTATATACTAACATCAGCTTACTCCCAAACTGTTACTGTAGTTAGTGTTGGATGAAAGTCTGAAAATTATGTTGAAGTCAATGAGAGTTATAAAGCCCATGGGAATCAGTAATAAGATATGGCTTCATATTCTTTCCAGTCATTCAATAAGAAAGTGTTGTAAACAATTTGTACCTGCCATAGTACATTTAAATTACTCGTGTGCCGTACCAGAACTATTCTGTTAACCTGCACTGGGAATAACAAAGGCTCAGCCCAGTGTCTCCCACAACTTTACTCACACAAATAGTCTGTTACGGGTGTCATTCAGATGAGAGAGGATTGTGTGGCCTGGTCCAAATTTCTTCATTAAACATGAACACTCCTCAGTCAGAGAAAGTGTCTTCTTTGTGACCGTCTCTCTGCAGATAGACATATTTTCTTTGAGAAATAGTTGAAGGTTTTTTTCTGAACTGCTTGTTCTTTTCCTCTTTCATAGTAAGTCATTGTGTATGAGGGGAAGTCTTAAAACCCTGAAAAATACGAGGCTTTTTCCCTCTGATTGGTAGTTTTTGTGATTTGAACCAGGTGACTCTTACAGAAGAAAAATAGAAGAAGTAACCATGTCAGCTTTCAAGGATACAGGGTTTTATTGGTTTGCTTGACACTAATTATAACAACATGTCAAGTATTTACCATCGACCTTAGAGAATTTAAAAAAGGAATAATTTCTGGTTTTTGGAGAGTTAACAGCTGGTGTGTCTCTGCCTTCAAGAATTTATTCTGTATAATCATTTCACAGATCGTGTGGAACAAACACTCCTTAACTGGCTATTAAATTTTAGTTTAGTTACGATAAAAGAAAGAAGTGGCTTACCTGAAATTACTTCCGTTTTTGAAAATTTATTATGATGTTGTTCTCATTATTTAACACAATATGGAAGAGAATGTGTTATTAATTGGAATCAGGGTATAAAGAGTAGTGCAGTAGAAATACAAAACAAAACACAAAACAGTCCAGGAAAAGGGTATCCGTACAGGTGAGAGAGAAGATCAGTTTCATGCCTTGGAGGAGAGGACTTTGTCTCTTATCTTGCTAGCCAAAACTACATGATGACTTTGTGATTGCTCAGTTCTTAGTTCTCTAATGTGATTAATTACTGTGTATGTGCTTGAAATTAATTATTCAAGTTGTCTAGGATAAAAAGTGAAATCTATCTGTTATCATAAAACTAGAAGATTAATAATTCTATACTTTTTTTGTGTTTTCCAAGTTTTGTGTTTGTCCCAAGAATGAAGTTCTCCAGAGATGCAGGAAATACAAAACTGGTTCTGTGAGCTTATTTTTACACCATGGTGGAAAAACAATTAAGTGTGCAATGTCAGCATCTTCTTTTGTTTTCCAGGTCCGTGGGGGAGATGTATGGGAGATGAATGCGGTCCAGGTGGCATCCAGACACGAGCGGTGTGGTGCGCCCACGTGGAGGGCTGGACCACACTGCCCACGAACTGCAAGCAACCAGAGCGGCCGGACAACCAGCAGAGCTGTTTTCGGGTCTGTGACTGGCACAAGGAGCTGTATGACTGGCAGATTGGCAGCTGGAATCAGTGCCAGCCTGTCCTGTCCCGTAGCCATGAGAAGCCCCTGGAGTGCCTCAGAGGGGAGGAAGGGATCCAGACAAGGGACATCACCTGTATCCAGAAGTCTAATGGTGTGGCGGCTGAGGATGTCATCTGTGAGTACTTTGAGCCAAAGCCTCGCCAGGAGCAGGCGTGCCTCATCCCATGCCGGCAGGACTGCATTGTGGCTGAATTTGCTCCCTGGTCGGAGTGCTCAAAGACCTGTGGCAGTGGGCTTCAGCATCGAACTCGGCACGTTGTGGCTCCACCACAGTTTGGTGGGTCTGCTTGTCCTAACCTCACTGAATTTCAGATCTGTCAGTCTAGCCCATGCGCTGCTGAAGAAAGCTTGTATAGCCTAAACGTGGGACCCTGGAGTGCATGCTCAGTGCCCCATTCAAGACAAGTAAGGCAAACGAGGAAACGAGGGAAAAACAAAGACAAGGAAAAAGACAGAGAAAAGGCAGTTCGGGATCCTGATGCTCGTGAGTTAATTAAGAAGAAGAGGAATCGCAACAGACAGAATAGACAGGAGAACAAATATTGGGACATACAAATTGGGTACCAAACCAGGCAGGTCACATGTACTCACAGAAATGGGAAAACTGCTGCTCTGAGGTAAACACTCTATTAATTTGCACATCTTTACTTTTATCTGTTTAAATTAAAGCATGCATAAGTGCATACTGGTGTTATTTTACACAAGCCTGAATCTCAGTATAAGGCACATGCTATTTCCATTATGAACATCCCACACCAAGCTCAAGATGTTTCTTTGGCATGAAACATGCAAACTATGCTGGTGATCATCACATAAATGTGCACTGTTAAACTGTGTTAACTCCCTAGCCTCTCTATCATATCATATCGTAGGATAGTTTGGGTTGGAAGGCACCCAAAAGATCTTCTGCTTCCAACCCCACTGCTATGGTCAGGGACACCTTCCACTAGACCAGGTTGCTCAAAGCCTCATCCAACTTGGCCTTGAAGACAGCCAGGGATGGGGCATCCACAGCTTCTCGGGGTGACCTGGTCCAGTCCCTCACTGCCCTCTCTGTGAAGAATTTCTTCCTGAAAAAATTTTGCCTAAATAAATTTCCTACAAAAGCCTGAAGATATTTGTCAAATGTCTGCTCTCTTTCTGTGGGTTCAGACAGGATTTTGCACTCTAACGCATGCACATTTGGATGAATTGATGCTATTGCTTTTGAGCTGGGTCAGACTTAAAATAGAAGTAGAAAACAGAGAGAAAGGTGCTGCATGAGAAGGAAATATCTATTATTTCAAGTACCTTTCATTTTGAAATAGAAGAGCATAAAATACTGTTTGTCCTTCTTGATTCCTTCAGTAAAATTCCTGAAAGGCAGACTGTGAACACTCTCTATTTCTTCCATGTATTTTCTCTTTTTCTTTCTGCACCTTTATGCTGCCTATCTGGTTTTTTTTTTTATTCATTTATTTGTTTGTTATTTTACTTTTCAAGAGTTTTGACCATCACAGGTGTTTGGATAACACTTTCCATGTGTGCGTTTCTGCAACCATATTATCGTCCACTTGTTTTACCTGGTGCTCTCTCACTAGCTCGTGCTTTTTTCCTTCCTATCCCCAAGAATGTTTTTGTTCAACTCAAAAGACTTCTTTCTAGGCTACCTTTTACTGTCTTTGATGTGATTCTTTCTATTTCCTTCCCTCTAGTTCAATGCATGATTAATCAATTTTACTTCAACTGTGAAATGACTAAGATATCTTGCTGAATGAGGCTGACAACCATTGCTGCTAGGTTAGTGTTTATGAAATTTTTTCAGGGTATTTTACTTTGGAGTTTTTGTTGTGCCAGTTAGACATTCTATCACAGAACTTGTAATCACTTCAACCTTTCCTATCAGAAACCATATATTACAGTTTTTCAAGTGTATTTTTCAAGTATATTTCCTCTCAAGACACCCATCAGTAAAATAGGAAGATGATGAGAGGTGCCTGGCTTAAGGAAGAACTGGAAGGTTTGGGTCATTTAGTTGGAAGGAGGAACAGACATATGAGTGAAGATGTGAAGTGCCTGAGTATATAAAAACCCGTCACAAGGAAGAATGGAACAAGCCATTGTCTATATGTTATGGATGTGTAGGAAAAACAGTAATGGGCTAATCACAGCTGTGCTCAATGAGGAAGAGTGAAGCTCTGGAAAAGATTTCCTGGAGAATGTGTGGCACCTACATCTTCAAAGGTTTGTAAGAATAGGCTAGAAATGCATGTCAGTAATGATGCACCTCAAGTAAGTCTTGGTTAGGGAAGAGGGGCTGACAGTGTAGTTTTTTGCAGTCTCTTCTAGCTCTGTTTTTCTACAGTTCTTTCAGATTTTGACCCACACTTGGATGAATGTCTGCACAAGAAATCCCAAAATCAGCTTGCTCAGGCAGTCCCAGGTGTTTGCCACAGCACTGTCTTAGTGCTGGTACAGGAAGAGGTTGCATTTACCCCTTCCTTTCCTAGCCTCACATCTCGTACTGTGCCTAGCCAGGAACATCATTACCTTTTAAATACAGGGAATAATTTATTAAACATATCAGCTGCTAGCAGATAGCAGACAGCCACTCTGTTTGAAAGTTCCCCAAGGTTTTGTAAGGTTAAACAAATAATTCAGAACTCCCACGTTAAAAAAAAATGAAGGGGGAGGGAAACATTCATGTGCTGAGGCTCTGATAATGGTGAAAGAAAGTAAAAGTATAATTGGTAGTCAGTGGAATACTTTCCTCATCATCTTTGCACTCACTCTTGAATTCACTCAGATCAATAACGCTGTTTTAATTTCAGACACCTCAGCGTATTATGCTATATATGCACATTTCAGGCTGTAGCAGGGAAATGAATTAAACCCTCTTGCCTGAGGAAGTGAAACAACAGTTAATATAACATATGAGTGATTCTTCATAGGGGAGAAAATTATACAAACAATGCAGTGGACATTTTGATGTCTAATGGATATGATTTTATGTTGTAAATGCACAAAGGATTTCTAATGGTCTTCCCATCAAATGTAACGTAGAATCTTTTTTTCTAGTTGCATAGTGAAAACATGAAGATTTGGTTAAATGACTCGTGAGAACATCTGGCACTTATACCTTTAAGTGTATCTATGTATGTCACCTATATATCCATTCATTTTATTTACACTGCACTCTTCACTAAGCGGTCAAATGCTGTATTCTATGGCTGTCATTACAGAATCTTGAGTGATAGCATTATTTTTCTGCCCAGGTTGTCAACACAGCCAGTTCAAATAATTTTATAATCTCCATTGCATAGTAACTGTGTTACTAAATAATATAGACAAGGAAGGTGACTGGAAAACCTGCTGTTCTCATGTGAAATGTGCCTCAGCTTGAACAGTCCATTTTCAGGGAGTTGACTTTAGCAATCAGAAACAATCAGCCCCCTGGCACCATGACTGAAAGAAGAAAACCCCTCAGGCAAGTAATATTTTTTGCAGAGGTAGCAAAATTAGTATATCATAAAAAGAGTTTCAAAAACCAAGTTTTAGAAGGGTGCTCCAGAGATAATAGTTCTGTAACACTGTCAGCAAAACTTCAAAAAGGCAAATTCTCTTGACACATCAGCACGCCAGGCATGGTAAAGAGGAGTGAAACAAGAAAATCAAAGTGTAATTTATACACTTTATTGCCGAGTGAACAATATATAATCTCCCGTGAAGGATGAAATATTGGATTTTGTATTGCTCATTCTGCAATAATGTACATGGTACATGGCCTGTATTTGCTTTGTTTCCCTTAGTCTGAAATTCTGGTGCACTGAAAATATTTTAAAAGTTGAAATGTTGGAGAAGCAAGAATGCAGTACTTAAAGATGATTTATAAAATGACTGCTCTGTATAGCTAACAGAACCTGGACAGTGTTACTGTTAGTGGAGAGGACAATACTGATTCTTTGAAATGTTTGCCCTTTTCTTTTGGTGAAAGTGGAATTTGGCAGATGTCTCACAGAGAGACGTTAGACAACAAACTGTGCATGTAGAGAAACGTAAAACATATGTAAAAGTTCATTTTGAGTTTACAAATCTGTTTGCGTTATTACAAATTGTGATGAATTTGCCTCATGTTAAGCCTATTATTTTCTGTTGTAATATATACTCTGGTTTTGCTTTCTTTTACTCCGCCAAATTGTTCCTCTTGGATATCAAGCATTTCCTCATAATTGTCTACCTGAGCAGACCTTGAGGAGAGAGTTCAGCAAAAAATGTTTTGGCTGTTTTTGTATAAACCTATGACAAAATATTCTGTTTGGGCAGTGTTTAATTCATACAACAATTTTACTGGGGTAAATCCAGTGGGTTCTTTGTTGAGAACCCACTGGATTGCTCTGTTTGGGCAGTGTTTAATTCATAAAATAATTTTACTGGGGTAAAAGAAGGTATTTGATATTTGGAAGGACTGGAGCAGGTTAGGAGCTAAGACATTTGTAACTGTAAGAACATGGAACAGAACTAGGGTAACTTCTTGACCTGTGTGTTTCTGCACTTCAGCAAAAATTTTGAAATTCACTGACAAAGCGCATCAAGTTCCCCTGTAGCAGCAGCTGGTCCACAGTCATGGGGACAGTGAGCAACTGCTAAGAATTGCTTAGCTCGAATGGCTGCAAAGGTGGACGTAGTTAAAGCAGTTCTGCAAGAATGTAACTGCCCATTTAAAAAAAAAAAAATCCCAGGAATTTCCACACTATTTCCATTCTCTTTCTCCATCATTTGACTATGGCTTGTTTATCTTGCTTAGGCTGTCTGAATGGGGGGATGGCTCTTTGGCTGCAGTCCCCAGAACTGGCTAATATTCCCTTGACAGCACCTTTATGGCAGCGACCTGTTTATGAAGCTGAATATTATTGATGACTTGAAATGACAACTCAAAGAACAACAGTAAAATTTTAGATATATTCAAGGCTTTTTTTTCTTTGTTGGGAAATAACCTTACACAGTAACAGCAGTGGAACATAACTGTAGAAAAGAAAAGCATCCAAAGTTTAAGAAATGCTGGCCAATTCCTGAACAGTTCAGTTTAGCTCCTTTGTGCATTTGATTGTATGGTCATGTTTGATTTGTTTCTGAGAAATAAATTCTCAGAAAATAATTATTTGTTATTTCTTTTCGTCCTCCTCACTGATTCTGTGCATTCATGCAATATCTAGCACACTATATCCACACCTTGTAATGAGTTAAACTCTTTTGGAAGTTTCCATAATGATCACATTGCAGCGCTTCACTAACTTTCAAGTTTGGCAGAGTTTGAGCTTTTATTTATTCCAGTATTACAGTTGAGACATGAGAGATGACAGCAGGGCCCACGTTGTTGAATTATGTTGCTAATTTTGGGCATCCAGTTGAGGGTATATAATGCCTGTTTTTCCAGCTTACTTCAGACAGACCTGTATCTACTTAAAGCACAGCCACTATATTCACTACTGGCCACAAGTCTTAAGACGGATTCCCAGGGCCTGAGGAATTAGAGAATGGCCAACTGAGTATTTGGGGTGACAGGCAAGTGATACTCAAGATGTACTGGCAGAAAAATTGAGAGAATGTGCTCCTCTAGGATGACATTTTAACTTTGTTC